CTAAATGGCTACGTCAAGCACCTGCTCATCTTGCATGGTAAGTCTTTGTGCAGTGGCCGATTTTCACTCTCGATCTTTCAACGCCAGGGCGGCAGTCCTCAATTATAACTTGAGAGCACTTGCAGTGATTAGCGAGCCATTGCTGTGCCAAAGCATAGCTGGTCACCCGCAGCATATGTCCATCGAGTCTTCACATTCCATCTACGGTATATACTTTCATCCATCTTTCGGATCGCGATGGCTGCTCAAAAGATCCATACATCTGAAGGAGTACCTTTCGAATGGTTGCGAAGTTAATCCAGTCACTGACATGTGTGGCGAATCAGCCAAAGCGCCCCTCATGAGTTGATAAATATGTTATGACACTGTTCAAAGTAGACCTCTCGTTTTGTTCCTCCCACTTTAACAATCCCGCTCCCACAAATTACGATGAAAACTGTCAAGCCTCGGTCCATCGCTCATCTTGATTCTTGAGATGGTGGCGTGCAGCAAAACGGCAGATATAACGACTCACGTCCGTCATCGAGTACTACACCGACAAAATAAACCAGTAAAGAGGCTTAACAAGTCGTGACCCATGACCAGTTGTCACTGTTCTATTCAGTCTGTCATCAACAGTTCTACATGTAAAAATGCCGCAATCACACCGCTCGATAAGCAGCGCCTACATACATAGGTTTGACTTCCAGTATGAATATGCTAGAAGGAGATACCGAGTCTTTCAGATTCGATTGCGCCACGGCGCCATCATGCTTGCGAACGGCGCGTCTTGGGCCGTATTTTCATTTATATTCGTTGATCGAGAGCAGTCGCTTCATATCCTTTCATCGGGGCTGACCACGAAGACATGAAGGTGAGGAATCCAAATATCAGCGCTGATGTTCTCCGAAAGGCGATAGTCATCTACTCCCCACTCCCGCCGCAGTACACCCTCCCGTGTTGGCCGTCTGGCTCAGAGGCCGCCACATGGCAACTTGGCCGAGCGGTCTAAGGCGCTAGAATCAGGTGTTCCAACCTATCTAGTCTCATTGAGGCGTGAGTTCGAATCTCACAGTTGTCAGTACTTCTGTTTTTCCTAGTGCTGCGAGTCAAGGAGCGAGCCCTCCATAAACCGGAAGAAGGCCGCATCTCGAGGTTCAGTCAACAGGTTGTGCTTTGCGGTATCAATTCAGCAATTAATACTACAAATTCCTCCCTGTCATCCCTCTGACAGTGTCGCGAGCAGTACATGACAGTTTCTCGAAAATAACACTAGGGTATAGAGGTAGAGAAACACAATTCCCTTGAAATAGGTGCATCTCGCAGAGTAATTTTTTTGTTTCTGAAATTCAGCGTTGAGAGACCGTAGATGACCAAAGTCATCCATGGAAATAAGTCCACTGCTCCAGTATTTCGGGGGATATCAGATCATTATGAATGATCACCGAAGTTTTTATCCATTTGCCCGTGGTGGAAGATCGGAGTTCAGTGTATCACAAAATCTTGGAATCCGACAAGACACTGTCACAAAGGAGGGCGTAGATGATCAGTGATGTCAGGCTACAAAGCAAGTAAACCATTGGGGTATCATCGAGATGCCATTGTATGATCTCCATCCGTTTGAACAAAGCATGCAGAAGCCTAGAACGCATAGGTCCATTATTGGACGATGGCTGGAAAGGGAAAACTTACATTCATCAGGCCATAGAACACGAGTCAAGGTGCTTTAGTATGAGATATCTTGCTCATTAAGGGGGGGGAAATCCAGCGAACGCGTCCAAGGAAAGCGAAAAGCAACGCAGCTGGTTTTCAAGCTCGTGCGATCAACCATGTGGCCAAGATCGGTGATCTTATGGAAAAGGCGCCACGTCAGGCTCCTTCTAGCGCCGATCCTCCAAACGAAGCTACTTACTAAATTGAAGCTTCCAAACCTGTTTCAATCATGGTCAACCAAGCAATAAATACTCAGCCAAAGGGGGTTGAACAGGGTTGAAGACCGGGAGAGTCGGAAACGTACGGCCCGCTAAGCGCTCTTTGGCCCAAAATATCTCCACCCGCAAACACCTCAAAACATCTCCGTAAGTGTGTCATTTCTTCTTTCATCGTCCATGCCCTCCTCGCCTCTCCTTCTCATCTAACTGCATCTAAGATGATACTAGCACCAAGGCAGGACACTTCCGGTCAGCCTACCGTGCGTTCTTTCTTTCTTTAACTTTCTCCCAAATTGCTTCCGAATTCCGGGTTTAACTTTTGTCATAATGAAATACTAATGAAATCATTCATACAGAGCGCTCCTCCATCGACGACGGACGGCGGCACTACCACCACCACTGGCGCCGGGGCTCCCACCACATCGCTCACGACAACGACGGGGGATTCTCAGGCGTCGACTAATACCAATACCAATACCAATACAGGTACGGGGACACCAACGGACGGCTCTTCTAATACTTCCAATAGTAATAGCGATGCGTGAGTCCCTTCTCCTATCTCTCGTGGACACAATGAGGTGGCTAACATCGACAAACGTGTACACAGAACATCTACACCCACACCCGCACCCTCGGCCACTGACAGTAACACCTCCTCACTCACGTCGTCCGACTCGAAATCGGTCTCGTCTGCGTCGACCTCCGCCTCTGATGCGTTGAGCTCGACCTTGCGAGACGGCACCGGAGCTGGGACGACTACCCCCGCGGTGACGCCGACGGGAGTGGTGCCTACTACTACGCTTACAGGTGGCGAAACGGGAGGAGTGGTGTCATCCTCGGGGAGTGTGACGGTGAGCATGACGACGTATACCACGAATATTGGGGGCGTGTTGACTACCGTGCGTACATCTTTCCAAAAATAAATGATAAAATACCTACAACTAATTCACCGGACAGATTACGACTCCCATACCGACTGCGCTCTCCCCCTCCCCTACCTCCCCCGCCTCCACCTCAAAACGCACCGCAACAATAGCGGGCACAGCCGCCGCCGCGATATTCTTCCTCCTTCTTTTGCTGCTCTCCGTGTTCCTGTACCGGCGGCACCACCGCAAGCTGCACGAGAAATTGGATGGGCTCCTGAGGAGTGCGAGGCAGGCGGCGGGGCGAGGTAGGGAGGATCGCGGGTTGCTCGATGGGGAGGACTTTTTTGATGATGAGGAGGGAGAGGTCGCGATGAGGGCATATAGGGATGCTAATGCCCCTGCACCGAGTACAAGTGCGAGTGCTGGGAATGGGAATGGCGGAAGTGGGGCTGGTGGTGGTGGTCTGAGCCCGCTCCCTAGGACACCGGTGTCTACAGCGAGCTCGAGGGCGACGACGCCACTTGGGATCCCCCCGCTTCAGATCCAGGATGGGGCCGGGCCGGGCCTAGGTCTGGGAGGGCTGGTGGACAGCGTTATGGGGGCGTCTTCGATGAATCTCGCGTCCCCGTCCCCGTCTCCCTCTTACCCTCTTTCCTTGCACCCCTCTACTTCCACCTCTTCCTCTACCGCGTCTCCCCCTTCCGCTTCAACGCTTCCTCATCCGAATCCCACCATCAACACAGACATAAACGCACTGCGTCCGAGACCCCTCTCGACGCTCTCAACGATATCGAGCACGAGCTACGCCGGGCTCTCGGCAACCTCCACATTGTTCGTCACGAATGGCATCGTGGCATCCCCGCCTACATCGCCTATGGGCGCAGGGTTCCCAGCTCCGACTTTGGGCGCGGCGTTCCCCGCCACGACTTCGCCTGTTTCGCCAACTTTGACGTCACTCGCACAGGCACCGGCCTCCCCGCTGCGGGCGGGATTCTCCGTCGGGGAGATGGGAGAGATTGCAGGGATAGGTGGTTTGTCCATGTCGACGATTCCAGGCGCTTCAGGACCCGACACAGACGCACCCACACGTCCACCCCGATCCCCATCTCGGCCCATGTCTCCGCCTCTTCCGCCGCGATCGCCCTCATCACCGCCATCGAATGAGCAAGCAACGCTCCCAAGGATCATCACCTCCCCGCCCGCGCCCCTCCTAACTACTCCGTCCCCCAAATCCCGCTCGTTGTCCATATCGGTGTCTCCGCCCCCGCTCCCATCGACGCCAACTCGTACAAGCTCCTCGGCGTATATCCCTCCCTCGCCGACGACGCCTAGGCTCACATCCTACGCCTCCACTTCCACTTCCCCCAACTCTCATCCCTCCACCTCCACCTCAAACTCAAACCCAGACTCCCGCTCCCCGCCC